CTGCTAACTCTCGAATCAGCAGAGACATACGCCATTTAACGCTGTTATATGCTGAATAATGAGCAGACTCCTCCGCTTAGCCAGCGCTTTCACAATCAAGTCTTTTAGCCCGTCTAAACTTTGGCGAGCGCATAAAAAAGCACTTGACAAAAAAAAAATGCGTTTTTTTTAAATTGCAACAAAACTTTTTTTGTTCATTTGTTTAACTTTTATGAAAAATGATTTTTTTTTTGTCTTTTTTTTTCAAATTATTTTATCTAGTATTTATTCGAAGAATTCTTTTTTCTATTTTTATTTTAATTTAAGTAGCAGAAAAAAATGAATTTTTTAAATCGCACATGCTAACTTAAAAATTATCCATCCTGGCAGCACTATTTTATGCGCTGGTATTATATTTCAAATGGAGAAGACTGAATGACGTGCATATGTTCCTGTTCATTTCATCAAAATCTCATTGGTTTGGGTTACCTTGGATTTTTACCAGTGCCTCATCAACAACGAAAATAACAAAAAATAGTAAAGCTTAAGATATTCAATTTGAAGAGACGTTACAAATTACAATCATGACTAAAAGCAGAGCTGCTATCATGCTTCATAGATTTATTAGCAATATATGTTGGTTCAGAACATGAAACTGCATCAGCAAATTTTTCTGGGTCAATAATACAAGCTACCTAAACTGACGATGTAAGCTTATGCCTGGAAGCCATTTAAATATCATGATCGGGCAAACATACTTGATAATCAAGATGCATCAAAATGATTGTTTTTGCACACTAATGTAATTCCAGCATCTATATGCCTATTGCGAGCTGTATTGGCAGTCCTCATCAATTTCACAAGAACTGTCTTAATTTGATTTTTTCCTTCAAGTTTGTAAGATCGCTTAGGCGGTGATCCAACATATATCAACATTAACAATTGGTTTTGTTTTGCAAAAGTTCAATTTAAATTCTCTCTTGTTGTGAAGAATGATTTTTTGTCGGCTGATCAATTGGTGATTCTGTTTGTGATTCTTGACTTAAAATTATTAAATTTTAAATTGAAAAAAAAACTTTTCAAAAAAGTGTTTATAAACTTTTTTATAAGATTATTTCAAACTTTTCATAAGATTATTATGAAAATGTTTGTACTTCGATTTCTTATCGCTACCTCAACTACCTCAATTTATTCGCTACCTTGCTACTTCAATTTTTAATAAAAAATGGCTAAATGGTTATACAAGATGTTGCTTTTAACAACATCTCGCATAACCTCAAATATAGGGGAAATTATGCACCCTTGATCCTAAAATCCAAGGGGAAAAAATAAACCAAATAATAATATACGAAACACAAAACTATAAAACTAATTTAGAATTATCTATATTTATATGGCTCTAATAAACTTTAATAAATTATATTTATTTTTATATTCAATATTAGTTCTATTTTTGCTTTTTAGTATAAAGGGTGCATTCTCTACAAAGATTTCAATTTTACTTAAACTTTTAACAACGGAATTTATTTTAAAAGAAGCTATTTTAATTTGTTGAAAAATTTGAAATATTTTTTTTGGAATTAGCTATTTGTTAAACTAAGGTACCGAAGTTTAAAGAATAGCTATTCGCTGTTCGTTTAATGACAACACTATTTGCCGGTGCTTAGTCACAAGTTGTCATTTCAAAGACCGGTGTTTCTTAATCCTGAGTAGGATTTATTTTGCGGTGCTCAATCTATTGAATTAGAAATGCAGATTCAATCTATTGAACTAGAAATGCAGTTTCAATCTATTGAACTAGAAATGCAGATTCAATCTATTGAAAGAGAAATGCAGACTCAATCTATTGAATGAGAAGCTGTTAGTGAAAGAAAAAAAAGATTTAAAATAAATATAAAACAAAATCTATCATTCGCTCCAAATCCTAAAGACAAATCCATGTCAGTCATAGATCTTGCAAGAAAGTTTAAATGCAGCCAGCCAAGATAAAAGTATAAAGCATTTCATATAAAGTAAACTCCAATGCGATCGATAAACGCTATAAAATGATATAAATTTTGTTTAAATAACAAATTAAATATTTAAGTAGCTTCTTTGAAATTCTTTAAAAAGATTGTGATAATTAATACAAGCTTCTTTGAAATACTTTAAAAAGATTGTGATAATTGTACTGAATTATGTCAACTATATATTCTTACTTATATTCTCACCCAAATTTAGTGATTTTGAATGTTACAGTAATTAAACTTTTAATAAGACTTGTTGGAAATTGGAGAAAACTGAACTATAAAAACCTGTAAGAAGAATATTTTTTTATATAAAAATGTATTCTTCTTATTTTAAAAAAACAGTAGTGCTTAGCAGAAACAGATCCAGATCAACTAGAGGGCAATTTTAGGTTTTTTAAATTAAGTAGATTAGAAAAGGAGATATTGAAGTAATTGATAATTTGTAATAAATTATTCCTTATTGCCAAAAAAGAAAAGCCTCTCCTTCCGGACCAAAGAGCATAAAAACAGATGATAACGGGTAGAGATGGCAAAGAACGAGTTAAGAATGAACGAAAGAACAGCATAAAATGCTTATGGAAGAAAAGATAAAAAGAGTTAGAGATGTCCTCAGAACACCTGAATAAGGCTGTAACAAACATAAGTCTTTAATTCACCAGGCTGTAACAAACATGAGTCTTTAATTCACCAGCGGTACAAATATGAGTCTTTAATTCACCAGGCTGTAACAAACATGAGTCTTTAATTCACCAGACTGTAGCAAAAATACATTATTCTGTGTTAATGAACATTTATTAAAATTAATTTTTTCCATTTATTCAAGTGTCATGGAAATTATTTATAACTCTAAAGAATTTCTAAATTGACTGGAAGAGATCTTAATTATACTGATATAGAATTCAACCAAATCTACCTAAACCAATTGCAAACCGTTAGGACAATTGTCTCAGATTTACTATGGAGGTTAGCATCAACAGAGTTTCGATTGATTGCACCAAGTTAAGACTAAAAGAAATCAGTTTGATTTTTTTACAGTTGCTTATAAAAAGATTGATTTAAGTAAAATTAAGATCTATTGCAGGTAATGGAGTTTTTTTATATAAATAAATGATTTTTATTCACACAAAAAAAAAAAAAAAAAAAAAAAAAAAAAAAAAAAAAAAAATTTAATAAAAAAATTAAGGTATTAAAGTTTATACATAAAAAATGCTGGTCCAAAAATAGACATTCAGTTTTTTATGAAGCACTCAATTCGTTTTGTACATTTTTTGAAAAAGTTTTGATGCAATTAGAGTACGGGAGACTGGGACACATGATCTCTTGAGAGACTTGATCACCCTTGGTAAACCGTTTGCTTTATAATATTTTTTCATTTTGACTAGCAACATCAATAAACTGATAAAAGACGTTTAGATTATATGTCAATTTTATCTGTCAGAAGCTTGAATACTAGGCAAAATAACATTTTTTTTTTATTGAGTTGTAGAACTTTTTTCTGGTAAATGTTTAGATATCTGTCATAAAGTTTTAGTAATAAATAATTCATTCTTTTTGTATATAGTATGTTATAAATTTAGTCTAGATTGCTATTTGTACAGCACATGTGATTTATTTCACATTTTGAGTCACTATGTACTATACATAGAGGTTATGTATTATACATAGATGTTATGTATTGTACATAGAGGTAGTGTATTATACATAGAGGTTATCTATTATACATTTCCTAAAAAAGTTACTATGGGGAGACTTCCTGGATGAAGTGGGGAAACTTGATCCCATGATCTCCCTTAAATGTGCACATTAAATAGTAGATTATTTATTTTCTATTTATCACAATTTTTTTTTTAAAAAGATGCCATGTTTCTATAAAAGAAAGGAGGGAGCAAAACCAAAAACTCTAATTGACGAAGAAAAAATGAAGCTGGCGGGGCTTCTTACTTTACAGTTAGCTTCACTTTAGTACCGCAATGTATTCCATAATGTTCACTTATTTACATATTAAAAAATAAACAGCTGCAAAATATACTCTAAACAAAACACATGGGTAGAGTTGATCCCACTGATCAAGTCTACCACATAAAGGAGACTTGATCCACTTTATCACAATGTTTTATTTCATATAACTTTAAAATAGTAAGCATTTGCACATGAACTAATCCATAAAAATATTCCCATGTTAGATCTATATCAACTGGTATATAATGATTAATTTATTTCACTACATTAAAATTAGAGATAAAAAATTAAAATAGGGATCAGGTGTCACTAGTCTCCTCTAATAGTCATTAGTTAATAGTTACAAATGTGCTAATATAACATATGCTAAAATACATATAGTATAACTTGGTTTTGTTTGTTTTATCAACACAAAGAAAAAATGCTATGAAACTCTATTTAAATCTAACAGAACTTATTATTATAAATTATATTAGTTTTATAAATTATATGATTATTAAGGATGTACCGGAATTCTGGCCGGATTTTTTTTCTTTCAGATCAATTCGCTTCTGGCTGTAATTAAATTTTTATTTTATTTTATTTTTATGACACGTGACACAGGACCTGTGTAAATAAACCAAAAATTCATTATCCTACAGAGCAATGAAGAACTATAGGTAAACCGAGGTAAAAAATACAATTCAGCAACCACCACTAGCCCTTGTCAAAATACAGCAATTTTATTACTTGTTAATCCTGAGAAAGGATGAAGGGACCCTGAGAGGGGAGATACAAAAGATACTTAACACTGAAGTAATTAATGAAAATATTTATAATATTTATATTATTTTATTAAATTTACATGATTCTTATTGTACATTTTTATTGTATATTGTTTGTTATTATACATTGTATATTGTTTATTTTATTCTATTTTTATTGCATTTTATTGTACTAAAATATCAGTCACCACCTATCAGGGTTTTATATACATTTGACATAACACAGGATTGCTGTTAGACAATCTAAAATTTGTATGAAAATAAAAAAATACCTAAATATAATTTTTACCTTTCTTAGGCTGAAGATCATTTAAACTTTTCCCTGTGACTTTCTTACTTTTTCTATTTAAACCTTGTTTAGTTGACATCAAATCTTAATAAAAACAATAAATAATAACTTATTACCATCAAATTAACTCTTCAGCTTCTAATTAATAAATATTGTTTAAAAAATAAACTTTGTTTATTTTGATATTGAATCATTATAATAAAATGTATAAAAAACAAATTAAGTTTATATTACATTAAAATACAAATAAAAATCGTAAATACCATTATTATCTTCTAATTCAACTTTAACATCTTGCAAACGTGAAACTAAACATTTTTTTATTTTTACAATAAGATGTTTAAATAACAAAAAGAAACTCCAAGCTAAAATTTATTCAAAACTTGAAAAAAACTCATTCAAATACAATCATACAAGCAAAAAGCATACAATGTAACACTAAACTACGCTTTAGTGACATTTTTATAAAATAATGCTTCATAAAATTCATAGTGACAGAACTTTAAAAACTGTATAAAAACAAAACATGGGATAAAGAAAAAATATTAAAAATTAGGTTTAATTAAAAATGTCATGTGATTTATGCAAAATAATTATTAATAAACAAATTACCCAATATTTACTTAACTTATTTTCTTACAACAAATATTCCTTTTTATTTTTATTTTTTTAAACATCTTCACTTCAAACAAGGCCAACAAGCAACCACCATTAGAGTTGGAAGTTACTGGAAGAGAAAAGATGAAGATTGTAGAGCAAGATAACCATTAACAGACAGCTTAAAAGTTCGCAAGTTATATGAATCAGGAAAACAAGATGAAGGGAAAAAATTCCAAAGAACTGATGTTTTAGGAAAAAAACTAGACAAAAAAAAATTTTTGGCGCACTTAGAAACACAATAAAAACAATAAACACAATAAAAAAGATAAGAGTTAATTAAATGACAAGTAACACAAGAATGAATTTCAGCCACTGAGATCCCCATGCTGTAGCAGAAGTGAGATCTTTTTCAACTCAAATGCCCCCTTCAAGCAATCAGAGAGGGTTGGCTTCTTATCAAGATAAGAATTTTTTAGTAGTAATATCATCAGCAAACAATGCCACCTTAAATGTGAGGACTCCCAGAAGATTGTTAATGTAAATTAAAAAAATTATAGGGCCAATGAAAGAACTTCAAGGAGCCCCTAACATTACAGGAAATGAAGAAGAGTGCTGCCCATCGAGGACAACTTTTGCACTACAATTGGTAAAGAAGGATTCAATAATCTTTAAAATGTTACATTATACTATAAGAGCTTATCTAGAAGATTAGCATGCCAAACTTTATCAAAAGCTTTTGAAATGTCAAGAGCGTCTAATGCGCCATAAAACCTATTGGTTATTATTCTTAACAAATCAGCAGGAGAATGAGATAATTGAAATCCATATTGATGATCAGAAAGTAAGTTATTAGATTCAAGATGAGAGATTATGTGTTTGTTAATTAAGGACTTAAAATTCTTGCTTATGATAGTAAGAAGACTAATGGAACAGTAGTTAGACGAGTCAGATTGTTCTACGGAATTTTTAAAAATAGGGACAACCAATGCCGCTTTTTAGCATGCTGAAAAACAAGACTCTGATAAGCACTTGTTAAATAGTTTTGAAATTATGGATGAAAGGTCCAGAAAACACTTCTGCAAGACTTTAACAGGTATGTTGTCTGGTCTCCAAGCTGTAGGAGAGTCTAAGCAGGAAATTGCCGCTTTACGCTCTGAAGCTGGAGTGATAGTGTCAAGCAATTTTTAATATTTCTTTTAATATAAAAAAGTTCGCTTTAACATTTATTAAAAGTGCATTTAAAAACTATAATTTAAAATCTTTAAGACTTGATATAAAGCATAAAAAAGTGTTAATAAATGAATCATTTATTTGAAAAATCCCATTTGTCCACTATTCGTCAGTTTTGAGTTATGAATGGAATATTGTTCTATTAACTAAATAAAGAGAATGTCTATACGAGCTCGTTTTCATAATTTTTTAAATTTACTTTTTTTTGCAATAAAAATGGCTGCAATAACCAGTTTTTATTAATCTCAAAACAAGGTTGTGTGGTCAAATGGGGTTTTTCAAATAAGTGATTTAAATGTAATGTGTAATCCCTATCCTTTTGTAACGCCTAATAAAATAATTTCTGTCTATAAAATACTTTGATAAAATATTTTATAGGTTTTTTTACAAAAAGTTTTTAACCTATTTTTAACAAAAATGTTGTACCATTAAAACTTTTTGTTTAAAAAAATGCTTTTTAAAATCTTAAAATTACCAACTAAATTTCCTGATGTTGTTAGAATATCATCTTTCTCCTCTTCTTCTTCATAGACATCTTTTTCTTCTTCGTCTTTATTAGTATCTTTCTCTTCGTCTGTAAAATAAAGCTATTACCTTAAATCTTGAAAAAGATAAAAACAACAATATAAGCAAATATGATATATAAGCAAATATGATATATAAGCAAATATGATATCTAAAATCTTCTTGTGCCTAAAAATTATTTCAAATATGTTAGTTATTCCTGCAATATTTTTTCTTTAATGAAAGTTATAAATGCGGTAGTGGTGTAGTGGTAAGAGCGCTCGCTTTGTAAGCAAGAGGTTTGGAGTTCGATTCCCACCATGTCCCTGGAAGTACCACGCTCAACTTAATTTCTCAGCGCAGCGGCCTTGTTTGTCAAGGTTTGAGTTTCGGAGTTTAAGAGTTGAGAGAGGGTTGTACCACGATTTACAACAAAAAAATAAAAAAAAGTAACCTCCTCAACTGTAGTGGCTCCCTTGGGCCTTGGGAAGGTGAATAATTAAAAAAAAAAAAAAAAAGTCATTTTTTACAAAAAAAACTATGATTAGTTCTTTACTTTAGTAAAGAACTAATTTGCTTTTGAAAGCAAACACATCTTGACACATTTGAATAATGAATGTAATGTTATTAATTTGCTGTTTGTTTTTTTTCTTTTGTTTTTTTCACTGAACTACCCACTGCTCTGAAATTTGACCGCAAGGTTGAAATGCGTGTCAATTAAAAAATTCTGACTGATTTAGTATTTACTAATATATAGCAGTTAAAAACAACTTAGTTTAAAATCGAAATCCCGTGCTAAGTATGAAAAAAAACCTCAAATGACCCCTTTGATTTAGACAGGAGGGCATTGTTTACTTGGTCACCAGTTCTTAACTCCAAAAGATTTTTTGAATTAAATTTGAAACTTTTTGGTGAGTTTTGATAATTTAGGATTGTATAAATAAAAATATATATATATCTTATTGCCCTCACAAGTTAAATATAATTGGGGTATTTTGTAATACTCATTTGAGATCTTGGATCTGCTCCTTTAAAATTCACAACAAAAAAACTACAACATATAAATTATTATTTAATTCTTTTTGTGTTAAAATCAACAACAGCTTTTTTTAATTGTATTCCATGCTTACTATGTTCAGTGCTGACTTTATATCTTTTCCAGGTAGGTTTGAACTTAGCATGTACTGCCTCACCAGCTTGTTCTGCAAAATTTCCTAGACCCATATTATGATTTTTTAGAAAAGGAATAATGTGGTTCACAATAATATGTATTTTCCATGTGGTTTTTAAGGCTAATCCCTCTATTTTTGCATCATGAATATCATTTTGCAAAGATTTAAAAATGTCACCAAAGTTTTTGATAACTATTTCATATTCTGGGTTTAAATGTTTTCCGAAAGCTGCATCTTTTACTGTTTTAAAAGCTTGCAAACAATTTATTACAGATAATATCAAATGCTGGTGTACTGGGATTTCCTTTATAACAGCTTGTTCAAGAAGATCTACTTTTTTAAGTATTTTGTTAGAATTATTTTTGTCCTAACCAATTCCATGGTAGCCTCAAAAAACAAAATGGTATAAAGATAGCCAAGTTTTAAATCCAGGATCATATATAATTAGCAATACTTTGCCTAAAACTCCAACTGCACCCATCATTAAATGCAGTTCTGGTGGAGCAATCTTATGAACAATTAATGTATCAGGATCCTCATCCAAATAAATTAACCTTTTATTAATGACATTCATATAATTTGACATTTTTTTTGTTGGACATCCATCATTATTATATTTCTGAGACCAGTAATCAAGATTTCCAAACGTTCTAAGATCTCCAGAGGATAAAGAACATAATCCTGTACAATACAAACATGTGTACTTGAATTTTTCATTAAAGGATTCATCTGAATTTACATATAAGTATAAGAGCGATTCTTATAAACTAGCGGCTTTCGACTTGTTTTTATGAAGTATGTTTTTCCTTGTTATTTTGTTATGGTCTCAAAGTTACATTTAATTCGGACCGTAGAGAAAACTTTATTTTTCGGAAATTTTTTTCGATTTAGATATGGTCTCAAAGTTACTTTTAATTCGGACCGTAGAGAAAACTTCACTTTTCGGAAATTTCGATTTAGATATGGTTTCAAAGTTTCTTTTAGTTCGGACCGTAGAGAAAACTTCACTTTTTAACAATTTTTTTTTTCCCGCTTTCTACATCGTTTTTATATCACCATTTATATCATTGTTATAATACCGACAACTAATTTTTTAACCACTCATTTGGCTTAAAATTATCTGGTTTTATTACAATATTTATTTAGTCTTATTTAATGTTTACATATATGTCGCTTACATTTTTAAGGTTTTTGTGCAACGTTCTTTTTCGCTATCATATATTATTCTATTATTGTTATGATTTTGGGTTTCGCGGGTTACTCATTTTCCTACACTTTTGATTGGGTGTAAAGACAAACCCAGTTTGCACATTTTAAGTCAAAAGCCATATAAAATTTAACTTCTTCCAGCTTAAGTTTTGATATAATTAAATCCTAAATTCCAGTTAGATTCAGAAACGTCTTCAACTATAGCTAAGATCTGTATGCGCTGAACTCCACTATCTTGATACTTCGAAGAAGATAAACGCAGATTATCAGGATCAAACACGTTACAAGCAACTTTCAAGAAACCACCAGCTCCATCCGCACCTATATTCACAAATGCTTTAAAAGGGTCGAGATTCCTTTCATTTATAATATTCATTATAAAATCGCTTGTATTCTTAACATAAACCAAATTGCAATCAATTTTTGACCCTTGATTTCCTCTAAACTTAACTAACTCTGCAGAATAAAAAGATTCAACATGCAACTAAAGTTCATTTAGTTTACCAAATACATTTTTAGTAATACAATTTGATCCAATTGAACTTTTTAGACTAGAAACCAAGACCTGAGTACTTGCTTTAGAGAGTTCCAAAATGGTCTGTAAAGTTAGCAGCATCTGAAAAGTCATCATACTTAAAGATTTAGATCTTTCTGATTTTAATCCTGAAACTCCTACAGTAATCTGAACTGGGTTACCACCTGTTGATAGATTAAATGTTGCTCCTTGTATTAAATTTTCGTTACTCATTTTAGTCTTAATAATATTTGAAGCCACCTGTTCTGCCTGTATAGCACTAATACCAAAGGCTAGATTTGGAAGATTTGTAACTGCCTGACTTTTACAGCAATTGTGAGGTCTTCCAGCACCTAAAAAAAAATTGGCAACAAAATTTTGTGTATATATATATATATTTTAATTATCTTCGCTTCCAACAAGGCTGCAAGCAACCACTAATTAGTGTTGGAAGTTACTGGAAGAGGAAAGATGAAGATTGTAGGGCAAGATAACGATTGACAGACGACTTAAAAGATTGCAAATTATATGAATCAGGAAAGCAAGATGAAGGAAGCGAATTCCAAAGAGCTGATGTTCGAGGAAAAAAACTAGACAAATAAGAGTTTTTGGAGCACTTAGGAACAGTAACTGAAAAAGGATAAGACTTAATTGAATGACGAGTAACACGAGAATGAATTTTAGTAGATGGCACAAGAGCTCTAGCTCTTTAGAGCAGTGCCCATTATAGTATTTGTAGAAAAGAGAAAGAGAAGCAACATTCTGACGATGTGACAGAGGTTGAAGGTTGGCTGCAAGAGCAGGTCCAACTATGTTTACAATGCGTTTTTGCACCTTGTCTAAAAGAGAAAGGGCATCATTAGAAGATCCCCCCCCCCCCCAGATATAGCAACAGTATTCCATACAAGGCCGGATTTGAGATTTATAGAGATAGATTTATAGAGATATTATAACAAATATATAAGCAATAAATATACAAAAAACAACAATGTTCAATCTGTCATTTTTTAGAGATATCATTATTCAATTTTAATTAGTAAATCAAATTTGTAAGTGATTTGAAATTAAAGATTTTAACCAATAATACCAAAACAATGATGGCATAAGTTTTCCTTCATGTCATTGACAATTTCAGATTGTTCTGATTGGATAAAATCTATTATGTTGACACCACGCCTGACTACTGATTCCTCGTGTATCTATAAAAATAAACAAAAATTTAATTCGACATCAAATACAAGTTCATATATGAACAATGTGACGATAAACATTGTGAGTAATAAATTATGCAAAATAAAATTGATTTAAAATTTTCATTAAAATATTATATTTTACATCATTAAAAATGCTCAGAATCAAAATTTTTTATAATAATTAAATTTTTATAATTATGTTGATACCTTGGATACTTTTGATAACCAAGAACTTCTTGCAGTACTTTTTTCTGCGACAAGTAGATAAAGGTTTCTTTGACAACTAGTGCAAATCATAGTAGAATATGCTTCTAGGTTTGGATTATATTTATAATTAATAAAAGTATTTGTTTTTTGAAGGATTGGTTCAGAAACTGATAATAACTTCTTTGATCTTTCTCCTTTATGCTCTAGGCAAAAGCAACAAACACTAAACCTTGTCGCCATTTTTAATTTTTTTTTTCTACCTATAATTTGTATACAGTTGTGTAGTTCCCAGGGATTCTCAACAATTTTTCACCGCATTAACTAACTTTAAAAAAATTTAAAATAGATAAAGTACTGAATTTATTTTTCACAAATAACATAAGATAGAACGTGATTTTGATTTCAAATTTGATTGTTTAAAAATAGTATATAGTATTTGTAACCATATTAATGAAAATTTTTAAATTGACACAAAGTTCAACCTGGCGGTCAAATTTCAGAGCAGTCTGTTTACAAGTCCAAAATCAAAATGTAAAATAGACTTAAAAATCAACAACAGCATTTTTAACGCAGTTCTTTTTCAAGTTCCTCATTTAATTAGGTAAAAACTTAGGTTGCTAAAACTGCGAGAGTTTTAGTTGTTAACTAAAAATTATACAGTTTTGGTTGCTTACTAAAACTGTTACAGTTTTGGTTGCTAACTAAAAATGTTACAGCTTTAGCTGCTAGCTAAAAATATTACAGTTTTGGTTGCTAATTAAAACTGTTACCCGGAGAGGTAAATACAGTAAAAAGTAAAGGAGTGAATACAGTAAAAACAAAACAAAACAAAAAAACATTAAAAATTCCAAATATTTTTATATTTTGAATCTAGATACTTTACATTTATATATACTTTTAGCATATTTATTAGTACTTTTTTAAATTTTCATCTTGGATTTGAATTACTTGTCAACAAAAGCAGTTGATACTACTTTTATTTATAAAAAAAATTAAATGTTTAAGAAATCCTTTTGGTCTTTTATTTATAGAGAGAAAATGTATATGATAAGATACATTTTCAAAAAAAATTACAAACAAAAAGTAAAAAAAGTTTGTTGTTGTTTTCTGTATATAACTACGTTTGTTGTAGTTAAATATTTGTTTATTTTTTGCATATACTTTTTTTTGTTTGTCTGTTTGCTTACTGTATACTTTCTCATTTAGTTGTTTTATCAAGCACAGTACATGGTAGCAACTATTTTAATTTTTTTAACTTTTATACTTCAAGGTAAGAAGCCAAATCACAGTCAAAACTGTGTTTTTTGTGATGAGTTAGTTAATTATTTTATCCTTAGATTGATGGTCATGTGTAAAGTATAATTTAGGCATGTTTTGATACTCCCTTGCCAACCTAACCCTTTCAACTGTATGCTAGACTTGCAGAGTCTAAGAAACTACCAATAAAGTTATCTAAGTTGGCAAAAAAATCATTTTTTTTTACTAAAAGTAAAAAAATTAATTTATTTTACACCTACCCTTTTTTTAAAGTATAAACAACTTTAAAGCAAAACCAGAAATTTCAAGTCCAAAAAAATTGATTTTATTTTAAAGAAGAAAAAAAGGTAAAAGAAAAAAGAAAAAAAACGTTGCAAACTTTAAGACACAATTTATGTTTTACTGTGCTACACAAACTGTGTTTTACTATGTCACTCTCCTATAACAAAATTTGCATTTTAGTCTGCTATGCAATATTTTTCACGTGTATATAAAATAAGATGTGTTCAAATAATTTTGTAAAATATGAAGAAGTTTGAATTAATAAAAAATAAAATACAGTAGCTTTTTTTTTTCAAAATAAATAAAAAAAATATTTTTTGGCTTGAGCCAGCAGTAGCACTACAAACCATTCCCTAAAAACTTATTTCACTAAAAACCCTGATTCCCTGTTTATAGTCATATTTTATTAAATAAAAACCTTTTTTTGGCTTTTTTAATTTTTCTTCGACTGGAAGCGTGTCTGGAATATCATCTTCTTCTATAAAAAAATAAAAACTTCATATTATATAAACTATAACACTTTTAATGTATTAATACAATTTTTAAATAAAAAGCTCAACTTTATTATCTAAAAATTTTTTTAATTTTTATATAAATTAGTATTATAACTATCAAAAGTATTTTAATTTAGTCTTAAATAACTTTTTATAATCATCGAAACAAAGTTAAAAACCATAGAAAAAAAATTGATATAAAAAGTTTTTTTATTGTGAAATAAATTTTAATATGTATAAATAAAAATAAACATACAATAAAAATATAAAAAAATTAAGATATATGAAAAAAGGTAAATAAAAAAGTAAAAAAATTTTTTGGAATAAAATAAAATATGTCTGTAAGTGCTAAGTAGGAGTGTATTTGTGTGTTTATATATATATATATATATATATATATATATATATATATATATATATATATATATATATATATATATATATATATATATATATATATATATATATATATATATACATATACATATACATATACATATACATATACATATACATATGCATATATATATATATATACATATGCATATATATATATATATATATATATATATACATATATATACATATACATACGCATATATATATACATATACATACGCATATATATATACATATATATATATATATATATATATATATATATGTATATATATATATATATAGATATGCATATACATATATATATACATATACATATGCATATATATATATACATATACATATACATATGCATATATATATATATATATATATATATATATATATATATATATATATATATATATATATATATATATATATATATATATATATATATATATATATATATATATATATATATTGGGTGTGTACAAAAACAGTTAGACACTTGATTTTTTAATATTTTATTAATAAAAAAAATAAACAAAACTTAATCAAATATATATGCTCCAATATTGTCTCCAACTACTTGCCAACATGTAAGCAAATAATGAATGCCCATTTAATAAAATGCTTCGAACATGGAGGCAAAAAAGTCACTCAGGTAAGCTTTGAGTTCAGTCTTAATTCAAAAATAAAACTTTACCTCATAGATAATTGCTCAACAAACTTTACCTCATAGATAATTGCTCAAAAAACACTACCTCATAGATAATTGCTCAACAAACTTTACCTCATAGATAATTGCTCAACAAACGCAAAGAGTAATTATCAGTTCAAGCCTGCTCAATATGCTAAGTGAGGTAATATCTCCCAATTAAATTACAAAAATTTTTGCTGACCTGATTTTGCAATAAGGTTGAAGTTTGTAATGGAGAAAACAAAATATGTGTTGCTCTAGACCACCAGTTGAGAGTTTTTGCCAAGTCAAAGAAGCTACTGAAAAAGCCATTGAAGCAACTGATCAACCTAAACAAATGTTAATTTACTCAAGTTGCAATTTCATTGGTGTCACTTTCTTGCAATACAGGAACAGTTTCTTATATTCATAAACCATTTAAATTGTGAAATATGTCTGGGTTTAGTGAGCAGCTGATTGTACTCTTAGATCAATGTTATTCAATAATTCTATAATAGAAAACTATAGAAGTATTGAATAACACTATAACTTTATCGAGTTGAGACATAAAATCTAGTGATGTAAATTTTCCAGTAAAATTTGTTTCAAAATTTACCTGCAAAATTTACCATTAAACTTTAAATCAGTGAAATACCTGATATTTTAAATCAGTGAGTACCTTTTTTCTTTTTTTCTTAAAAGAAATTTTTTTTTTTAAAGAAAAATAAAAATCAGAGAAAAAAAATTTCAAAATTTACCAGACCAGAAAAACTTACCAGACCAGAAAAACTTACCAGACAGTAAATTTTCAAATTTTTTTTGGTAAATTTTACCTTCACAACGCTAATAAAATCATTATAGAATATCAGTCAATAACACTTAGAAATAACAATCTTTATAACTTAGAATTTCAGTTTATAACAGCAGTTACAGAAGTAATTTTTAACAACTGTTAAAAAACATTTTTTTTTTTTTGCAACAAGCTTTGCTGATTTAATAATTGATAATAGTTTTGCATCATCTGCAAATAGTTTACCTGTAATCTCACTAAGCATTTTGTTAGTAAAATGAAAAATAATTGGCCTAATACTGAATTCTGAGGGACCCAACTTTTTACTAACTCCCAATCTGAAAAAAACTCGCATAAATTACTCTTTGATATCAATTGATATCATAGAGTAATTCAAGTTCTCTTTGATATCACGCCACAAAAAAGTATTATTTTGCATTCCTAAAAAATCCACCTTCGAACATAGTCTGTTTGCAAACGGAATCAAATGGTTTTAATAAATTAAAGAAATTCTAGTCAAGGAAGTTGCAATTTACAAATACATGAGGTTAAACTTTCTTTTTTCTTTTATAGGGAAGTGTTTGCTACATTCAAAAAAAAGGACTTTATTTAAAAAATAACAAGTGAACTATTAAAAATGTAATATACTTTTAGCTGTATATTTATAACTATTATTTATAAATATTTATTGTACTGCTATATATAAGTAAAACTAAAACGAAAAAAAGTTAAAAAATACAACTTTAAAAACAATAAATTTATTATTTCAATCTATTTAAAAAAATTACCATCTGAAATGACATAAGTTTTCTTTCTTTTTGTTGTATTTTTATTTTTGTCAGTTTTCTCACCAACCGAAACTTTAATTGCAGTGATGATATCATTTTGGTATAACAAATCAGCATTAGATGTCCTGAAAACATAATCAAAATATAATTTAGTTAACTTTATTTATATAAATAAAGTTAATTAAAGTATAGTTTGATTATGTTTTATTCAGGACATATATAGAATACACATATATAGAATACACATATAAAAAATCTATATATAGAATACACATATAAAAAACATATATAGAATACACATATAAAACATTTTCATTTTATTTTAGGGGCCATCCATAAAGTACGTATGCAGGTATGGGGGAGGGGGGTTTCCCAAATGCGTGCAAACATGTACAAGGGGGAAGGGGTACACAGTTTGACTATCCTAAACATGATTTTATTTTTTTTTTATTAAACATTGAATTTCACGTGTGTAACAAAAAAATAATGCATACATACGCGGAGGGGGACGAGGTCTTTGAAAGCTTACAAGTTTGTACAAGGGGGGAGGGGAGTCTTAAATCAGTGATTTTACTGCATACGTACTTTATGTTTTACTTGTCATTCAGCTAAGTCTCATTCGTTTACTGTACCTGTCCCTGCATGCTCTAAAAACTTTTTTTCATCTAGTTTTTTTCCCCGCACTTCAATCCTTTGGAACTCTCTCCCATCTTCATGTTTTCCTGACTCATACAACCTTCAACTTTTCAAGTCTTCTGTCAACCGTTTCCTTGCTCTATAACTCTGTTCTTTTTTTTTTCCTAGTAACTCCCAACTTAATAGTGGTTGCTTGCAGCCTTGTTGGGAGTGAATGCAAATAAAAAAAAAAAAAAAAATCAATATAAATCAAAAGAATGAATTTTAGTTAATGGAACTAGAGATGATAACTCCTTTGAGCAGTGACCATGATAGTATTTGTAGAAAAGAGAAAGAGATGCAACTTTACGATGATGGGAAAGAGGCTCAAGCTTAGCAGATAGTCCAGGTCCAACAACATTTACAATGCGTTTTTGGACCCAACAACATTTACAATGCGTTTTTGGACCCGCTTTACTCCCAACAAGGCTGCAAGCAACCACTGTTAAGTTGAGAATTACTAGAAAAAGAATACATATAGAGCAAGGAAATAATTGACAGATAACTTAAAAAGTTGAAGGTTGTATGAATCAGGAAAAATGGGAGATAAGAGAGAGTTCCAAAGTGTTGAGGTGCGAGGGAAAAAACAAGACAATTAAAAGTTTTTAGAGCATGCAGGGATAGATATAATTAAAGAATGACAAGTCAAGCAAGAATGAGTTTTAGTTGATGGAATTAGATATGATGGCTCCTTTGAGCAGCAACCATGATAGTATTTGTAGAAAAGAGAAAGAGACGCAACTTTACAACAATGGGAAAAGAGCTCAACCTTCGCAGATAGAGCAGGTCCAACTATGTGTACAACGCATTTTTGGACCTTGTCTAGAGGAGCACCATTAGAAGAACCAGCACAAATATGACAAGAGTATTGCAAGCAGAGACAAATAAGAGATTTGTAGAGGTAGAGAATGGAATCACCAATTAAGCAAGTATTAAAATATAAATGAACTGTCGCTAACAACACTAAATTAAAATAGGAGCAGCCAGGAACCACATTACATTACATCTGAAGCTGAACTTTTAATTTTTTTTTGTCTATATTTCATCCAACCATTTATTGAGTTTTTTGTGCCAATTAAAGCAAAAGTATTGTGTAAAAAAATTGGGTGTGTAAGGGTTTTGGCTGTTTGAAGTGAAGCAGGTACAAATGGCAAAGTGTTTTTACATAAACATACAAAAACATAGTGAAGCAAAACATAGTGAAGCAAAATGGTGATGATATTTATCTGATAGATAAACTAATTATTGGTGCTGAGCCTCTTGAAAACACTTGTAAAAATATACACAATTTAGAGGAGAAGTTTATTAACACCAAATATAAATTATTTATGTTGAAACAAAAACATTTTTTACAAAATACAAGTCACAAAAGAGAAACCACAGTTCTGGTGGTCAGCATTTTTTTGGAACTAATTTTGTCTAATGGTAGTCAGCATTTTTTCACAGTTTTGGATTTTAACTAATTTACAGATCAGCATTTTTTTTCTCTATAGTTTTCAAAATTTTTTGCATTAAACATTTTTTTTTTATAAAAAATGTACTTATTTAAAAAAATAAACTGTTGAAGAAAATGTTTAAAAACAGTCTAAATTTAATAAATATAATATACTATTATTATATACAATTTAAATTTAAAAAAGAACTGGTTGCATAATAAAAAAAGCTTGAGGTCGATAGTGAAAAATAATCTATGAAGAAATAAAGTAGAGGACTCAGTAATAGTGTTGCCATTCCTCAATATAGAAATATGAACAGTATTGCAGGAATATGAACAGTATTGCAGGAATATAAACAGTATTGCAGCAATTAATAATAAAAAACTGAGTTCAGGCTAAAATTCACCATCCAAAGCAAGTGCCAGGTTGCCACAGAATAGTAATCACATTCAATATCAGCTGCCATTTCTAAGGAATAAAGAAGTAAAGACTTTTTGAATATAAACAAGATTATGTAATTGTTTAATCAGCAAATAGGGTCAATTTATAAATACAATCTTCAAAAAGGTCATTAATATAAATGAAAACACAGCTTGGAATCAAGGATGAAACCTTGGAATGCTCCATAGGTTATTGAAAAAGAAAGAGGAAGAAGAATTTAAAAAAATCATTAATTAATTGAAAAAAAAATTTTAAATACAACATGTGAATGGAGCTTACTTAATACTAGCATGCCAGATTATTTCATTTAATACAAAAGATAAAATTTTTGAAAAAAGTGAATAAAAAGGTTATTCCATACCCATGTGACTGTTGAAGATTTTGTGAATAAAAGCATAATAAATAGATTAAATGATGAAACAGCTGAATTTAAAAAAGGTCAGATGAATTTAAAAAAGGTAAATTATATAGATAAAAGATTACTTCAAAGAATTTATGACCTTGTATTTGAAAAAGACGTATTTAATCACTATTAATAACATTAATATTAATATCATTAGGTGTCCCAATTTCTCAAGGATAGTTTTTCATTGAGTATATCAACTCATAAATGTTAAAAAAAAATGAATTATTTATAGTTAAAAATGTTTAAAAAATTTGCTAAGTTGCCATGAAACAAAAATTTTATATTTTAATTTATAAAAACCTTGTTTTTCTCTTTGTTTCTTTTAATGCTTCTGACTTTTTTAAATCTTTTTGTAATTTTTTAGCTTTTGTTTTTTGAGGTGGAGTGCCTTCTTGGAAATCATCTAAAACCAACATAAAACATCATCACCAAATAACTATTAATATCAGTTTTTTGTTTGTTATAAAATAACTATTACATTTTAGTTAATATTTCGTTTTATTTCTTTTTTTGATGTTGTAAAACTCAAAAAAAACATCTTACCATCTTCATCAGAATTCCCATTTGCACTGTCAAATTTACTATAATCAACTTTCACCACATTCCTTTAAAATATTAATATTATTGTATGTGTACGTATTCAAAATATTATTATTGTTATATATGTTTAAAATATTATTGTATTATAAATGTTGCATGTATCATAAAGAACCCAAAAAGAATCCATGGCAAAGTCCCTGTGATAATATTTTTATAATTTTTAATCAAAAATTAGATTAAAAAAAAAAAAAAAAAAAACAATCAAACGAGAAAATCTTTTTTTCAACTTTATAAAATCAATAAACCTTTTATTAATATAAACAATAAACCTTTGACTTATCTTTAAGTCGAACTTTTAATATAGCAAGATGAATAACAACTTAACTAACAATTAATGTTCAAGATTGTTCATTTAGGTTCGTGTAACATTTGCTGCAAACATTACATGAACCAACTTTTATTAACTCTGATTTACAGTTCTTAAACCATGACTTTATTTTTACATTTCAACCATTAGGCACACAAGTAGCTGAGCTGATTACAATAGATAAAAATTCACACTAGAGTAATACTTCTTGCAAAGAAAAAGTTTATTTATTATTGACAGTTAGAATAGTTATAACAGTTATTATTACTTTATACATTTACATCAATCTAAATTCAATTTGCTTACAAAACAACATCAACAACATAAAAAATAAATACTTTTTGTATCAGTGAAAAATTACAGCTTTTACTATTTAAAACATAAAAAATATACACACAAATTTTTATAATTCATTTAAAGTGCAATTTATAAACCAATACCACACCATTGGCAAAATGAAGTTAAAAAGAAACTTGTTGATGATGCAGAACACAGTATTATTGAACTAGATAAAGAGCATAACAAGGGTTCACAACCATATTATATGCTTTTTCTCAGGCACTGTTAGTAAAGCCTTTCTGAATTTTATTTAATAGGAAAGGTTAATTTTATTAAAATAAAAAAGCATTTTATTTTAATAGTCAAACTTGTTTATTTACCAATTAAAGCAGTCAGATATCAATTTTATATTTACTAAAACGTACTGTGAATGCCCTGACATTGACAACAAACTATGTAACCACATAGTGGTTACATAATGGTTTGTCAATGGTGAGAAAAATGGAGAAACTTAATATATCTTCATTAAAGGTAAATCTTTAGCATTGGCATATAGTTTAGAAAGTTGAAAAATATTTTTTTATGGAATGTCCTAACCTAATTGTTGCAGTTGACCATAAAATATTAGTTCAAATCTTATATTCTTATCATTAATTTAGATTATTGTACTTTACTATAACTTTTTCAAATTTTTGAACAAATCATAATAATTTATTACAAAGCCCACAAGGACTTCAATTTCTGAATAGCCCTTATACTTTATACTTGATAAGTATATTATGAATATTAGCTAAAAAAATCATAGTTAAAGGTTCAAAAAACTATTATAAATCTTAAATTTCACTTGACCAGGATAATATTGTTTGACTAATGTTAATTTTAAAAAGTGCTAAATGTGTAATTTTCCTAATTAGCAACAAGAAGATTTTAGAACCTTTTTTTTTAAAAAAAAAACATTTTAAATTGAAAGAAATTTATTAAGAACCATATATTTCAATTAAAATTTTAATGGAACGATGAAATATTATAGAATTTTTACAGAACCATTAATTGAATCTACAAACCATAATCTACTGCAACTTTTAAAAACAGGTTTTAAAGAAGAAAAAAACAACTGGAATTATCTTGGAAGAACACAATAACAATATTTTTTTGCTTTGCTATCTAAATATGAGTTCTGTTTGTTATCTATGCATAACCTACAAAACAATAAATGACTCACCATTTATTCCAATTAAACTAAAGCCAAAACAATTAAAGAGCAAAATCTAACCTTTAAAGAAAAATACCATAACATAGTATTAAAGTTACACAAAGAACAAGCTACTCTATAAATCATTAACTTTCGCACGAAAAAAGTCTTTACAAACTTTTTTAAAAGAAGGTTTTTAGTATTTTAGTATTTTAAAGTAAAAATTCATACCATAAAATTATAGTATTTTTTGCTTTGTTTTCTATACCCAGTATTAAAAATATTCAGCTTTTTTGTCTTGTTGATGCCCAAGCATTGGTACGCCTTAACAACAAGACACTAATACTTGAGCATAAACAAGACAATAATGCTTGGACATTAACAAGATACCCAAGGTTTAAGTTGATTATTTTATTACATTATGTAAACAATTAAAGTAAATTATTATTTGTTAAATGCTAATACATTTAATTTAATGATAAAGTAGGTTACACTAATTTTTATAGCCTAATTTAATAAGTATATTCTTTTTATATATATATATATATATATATATATATATATATATATATATATATATATATATATATATATATATATATATATATATATATATATATATATATATATATATATATATATATATTATAAGATTATAATGAACGTCATTGTAATATTGCACAAAAGAAACTTTATTATCACAAGACAACTTACCTTCTGCCCATTGTTGCTAATATAATATCATTATTATTGTTGCAACCTCATTATATTTTTAACTGCATAATTTTAGTATCTAGAAACCTGCAAAAGTAATACATTATAATGCGTTTACCAGTAGCTTCATTTATAATATTTTTAAAACTTAAAATAAAAAAGCACTGGATTCATAAATATTAACTTTATTAACGTTGTATATTTCCCGCAAAAATTACGGTGTTTGAAATGAAAAATATAAAATATAAAATACCGAAACCACCGCGGTGGTTTGGTATTTTATATTTTTTATTAAATTTTATATTAAAAAATATAATGTAAAAGTATTTTTTACAAAAAGCATATCTATTATGTACAACATGGGTATTAACATTGTTCACCCATAGCTAAAGCTTTAATAACACATATCAACGCATTACTTTGAATTATAACGCAACGTTTGTACATAACTTACGCATTGCTAAATCTAAAAAAATTTGTTTAAAAATCTTTTTAAACCGAATTGATTAAGAATTTAACTTATTAACAACACATAAAAAAACTTTTGTTTTGTTGGCACTTTGTTTGCAAATCATAAGAGTAATCAAGAAATAGATTTTTCATTTAAAAGTTATTCAGAAAAATGTTGTTTAATATATTATACCTTTCAACAACTTATCATTTATTATTTCAACTCCACACTTCTATTTACCTAATACAGTTCTCGGTTTTGGGTTCTCGGTTCGGTTGTATCACAGGTTAAGAGTGAGTTACACACACACGCACACGCGCACGCAGAAAAAGGCATGAACTTTTTAATTAAATGCTATTCTGCGGTGCTCTGTTATTACAGAGTTATTACGGTCGTATTAGACCGTTAGGACTATTTGGAGCGCTTTAACTAATTAAAAAAACTAATTAAAAAAAAAGAAGTTCCAAATAAAAACACACTCCACTACAAAATGTAATAAAATAGTTTAACTTTAAGGAAGAGATGTTGTTTTTATATAGCGTACCTTTACACAACCGTCCAAAAGGATTATTTATAAAATAAGAGTGTGTAGTGTTATTTTTCCTGTTAAATTTATAACATTAAACTGATGTTGAATTAAAATATATATATTTTTGATGACTTTTAAAGTTCGCTTTAACATAGTCATAAAAAGTATTCATTCTTATGACTATGGTTTTAAAGAGTAGAAGGTAGCAACAGATATAAAAAGTATTCATTCTTATGACTATGGTTTTAAAGAGTAGAAGGTAGCAACAGATATATAAAATATTCATTCTTATGACTATGGTTATAAAGAGTAGAAGGTAGCAACAGATATATAAAGTATTCATTCTTATGACTATGGTTTTAAAGAGTAGAAGGTAGCAACAGATATATAAAGTATTCATTCTTATGAATATGGTTTTAAAGAGTAGAAGGTAGAAACAGATATATAAGTAGATATATAAGAAGGTAGCAACAGATATATAAATAGATATATAAGAAGCTAGCAACAGATAATTTTAAAATTTGTATTAAATGATTATAAATAAATAAATAAATAATGGTATTTAGAATATAAAGACCTTGGATTTGCTAATTTTAAACATACTTTAAGGTAATTATTTAAAAATAAAGAATTGATTTAAATATTTTGTACCAAAAATTAGTTTATACTTATTTATCATTTATTTATTTTTTCTTCAGTAAAATTTAAATTTACATGTTTAAATGAAATTTAACTAAAAAACTGAACGGGAATAATACCCAATTAAAGGTGTCTTCCATATTCCCTATAAATCAAAAATAAAAAAAAAATTTCAAGAACAACATTCTGCACAACCTTTGTTAAAGCTTTGTTTGTTAAACCTTTGTTGCTACGTTAAGAGCAGAAATATTTTTTTTTTGATCCTTAAATGTTTTAGCGCTTAAAATCAGATCCAAATCTTTCAATCGAATGATTTCGATTGCAATTTTATTTGTTGCTTGTTTTGCCAACGCCAACTCTTTATGTCCAAAAGAGGAATTCTTCTGTTGGTTCTTAGCAATTTTTTGATTTTCAATCCATTTATAATCATTAATCAATGATACTGGAGCAAGACCGGTATATAACTTCCATGCTTGGATTATTATGGCCATTTGATATTCTTGATTATTAGTAAATAGTAATACTAATAGTAATAGTAGATGCTGTAGCCGCCCGAAGACGACGAGTGTGTGTATTAATATCACACTTAGACAGCCGTATCACTAATAATTTAATTTAAAAGAAGCCAATTATCTAATTGTGCTTTAAAACTGTTTACTGATTTTGCTTTAACCACTTCTCTTGGTAGTTTATTCCATGTTTTTGTTATTCTGTTACTAAAGAATGAGTGTCTTAAGTTGCACTTTGTTTTTTCGCGTTCAAACCTGACACCGTTTCTTCTCGATAATTGAAAATCATTTGGCTTGAAACCGTTTATAAAGTCCACATTTTTCATCTTGTTTAATAACTTATAAGTCTGGATCAAATCTCCACGAATTCTACGTTCATATAATGGGGTAAGGCCAAGAATCTTCAGTCTTTTCACGTATTTTATTTTTGCCAGAGTCGGATTGAGTCTCGTAGCCCTGTGTTAAACTTTCTCAAGCTTTTCTATTTCTCCTTTAAACTTAGGGGACCACACTTGAACCGCGAATTCAATTAATGGGCGAACAAATGTCACGTATAAGACTTTAAGAGTCTGTACATCCAGTTCCACAAATGTGTTTTTAATCATTCCCAGCATTTTATTTGCCTTCAAGCTGCAAGACATAATTTGCTGTCTCCATTTCATGTTTGTCGAGAATAATACGCCTAAATCTTTCTAAAGAGTGGTTTGTCCTAGGACAACATTATCCATAGAATATTCGTGTTTTGGATTTTTACTGCCATAGTGTATTATTTCGCATTTTTCTTTATTGAATCTCACTAACCATTCTTTAGACCAGTCCCAAGCACTATTTATATCTCGTTGAAGACTGTTTATTTTCTCTAATGATTGCACATCGATCATTATTTTCATGTCACCTGCATAGAGCTTGGTTATATTTTGTATTCTGTCCGGCAGGTCATTTATGAACACAACAAACAAGATCGGGCCAATTACCGATCCCTACGGAACTCCGCTGTAGATTTTGCGCCAGCTCGAGACAATATCATATTACTTTAGCAGCTTTCCTGTTATTCCATACGCTTTTAATTTTAAAACGAGTCTTTTGTGCGGCACTGCGTCGAAAGTTTTTGCAAAGTCTAAATATACCACATCTACCGGACAATTCAGTGCGATATTTTCTGTTAAATAATCCACAGTTTCCATCAGATTTGTTGTGCATGATCTAGTTTTAACAAATCCATGTTAACACTTCGATAAAAATTTATTGTTCGTAAAATGTGCTGAACGTGAGTCTCTTATTATGCTCTCTAGAATTTTACACGGCACAGAAGTCAGTGAGACTGGTCGATAATTATTCGCTTCTAGCTTACTGCCTTTATTCTTAAAGATTGGGGTAATGTTCGCTAATTTCCATTGCATATGCAGTTTGCTCTTTTCAATCGGTGACATAAATATCAATGTGATTGGCAATGCAATTTTTTAATATGATAGTACTCAATTGGTCAACACCACATGATTTCTCGTTTGATAATTTGCTCAATCTTTTTACAACGTCACTGTAATTAATTGCATTCTCGTCAAAATTTAGATGTTTTTCCCCACATCTTGATCCGAATTCAGGTAATACTTGGTCGCCCTCTATAGTGAAAGAGTTTTGAAAATTCTCGTTTAAGATGTCAACAATCTTACTGGTCGTATTTGTAGAATTTCCTTCGATGTTTTTTATCGCTTTAATTGAGCTCTTTACTTTTTGTTGATTGTACACATATTTAAATAGTATCTTCTTGTTTCTAATCGATTTGTCGACCAGTTCGCGTTCATATTATTTTCTGGCTTTTCTCGTTTCAGTTTTAACTGTTCTACACAATGCTTTGTATTCGCTTGCCATATTTTTGTTTTTCCAATTTGTGCAACAACTTAAATGTCTCAATCGTTTTTTGTTCTTCACAAGTTCTTTTAGTTCATTGTCAATCCAAAAAATTATTTTACGAGTACTGTTTTTCGAGCTGTGACACGGTATATATTTTTGACAAGCTCCGTTAATGTAAAAAATGAGCGTGTCGTACATTTCCTGAACATTAATTGCATCGAAAATGTTTACCTAGTCTACGTTTGTAAAAAAATTGTTCATTCCTGCGTAGTCAGCTTTTTAAAAATATATTTCCGATTGCTAGCTACAGTTATTTTCTCATGGTGATTGAGTGCATATTTAAAGCAAATTAAAAGATGTCATTTGCTTATATTCCCCAATACCGCATTTTTCTCAACTTGAAATAATCTATGTTCGTTTACTGTGAACAGTAAATCTAATGTACTCTCGTAAGTTGATTCGTTTAGTTGAAAAGTAGGTATCGCAACGTGCTGAATTAGAAATTCGTTGTTTATTATTTCCGAGAAATGATGTTTTATCGAGTGTTCACTGGAGTTTATTGCATGGACTCCATGCAATAAACTCCAGTTGCATGCAATAAACTCCAGTTGCATGGACTACTCAATGCAATAAACTTTAGTTGCATGCAATAAACTCCAGTTGCATGGACTACTCCATGCAATAAACTCCAGTGCATGCAATAAACTCCAGTTGCATGGACTACTCCATGCAATAAACTTCAGTTAGTTAATTAGTTAAACTCCAGTTTTTTTTTGTTTTTTTTTTAATTTGCATTCACTCCCAACAAGGCTGCAAGCAACCACTATTAAGTTGGGAGTTACTAGGAAAAAAAAAAGAACAGAGTTATAGAGCAAGGAAACAGTTGACAGAAGACTTGAAAAGTTGAAGGTTGTATGAGTCAGGAAAACATGAAGATTGGAGAGAGTTCCAAAGGATTGAAGTGCGGGGAAAAAACTAGATGAATAAAAGTTTTTAGAGCATGCAGGGACAGATACAGTAAACGAATGAGACTTAGCTGAATGACAAGTAAAACGAGAATGAATTTTAGTTGATGGAACTAGAGATGATAACCATATTTGACCATATTACGGTAGTTGTTTGCAGTAAGCAATTGGGTTTTTTTAGAGTTGAAATTCACAAGCCACTGTGAACCCCAA